CGTTCTTGCTGTTTTATCGCTGTGTGTAAGAAACAGGCCATCTGCACGGTCAGAGAGAAGCAATGCAAAACAGAATACGCATCTCAGTTCATTTCTCTAATACAATCTGAAAAATGTGCCCAAAATGATTGCCTAGGACTGGTACGGAAAGCGCCGAGAGCTCCTCCTGAGAGCAGAGGGGAGCCCAAGACCGAGGAAGCACGGACACTTGTCCAAAGGCAGCTCCTGCTGAAAATTTCACGTTTCTGCACAGTTGCCCCCTATTATGTTACAACTTTTTTTTTTTAATATTTTCCATCAACCTTTTAACTCTTTCAATAAAAACTGTGAAAAGAAAACCAGTTGCCAACTATTTACACTGTAGAGAAAAACAAAAATCAGTAGTGACAAAGTACAATCCTATTTTTTTCTTTTAAGGACTAAGAACAGCTAAAGTAGCATTATAAATAAGAAAACAAAACTCTTAGAAGTCTGTTAATATAGATCAATTTTCTTTCAGTAGGAAAAAATAAAAAACACAAATAATTCTGCACTTAGAGATGAGGGAAGGAAACACTAAGGTGAGAATTGAAGTGAAATACTACTTTCTCTCTGGGAGGGAACAGTGAAATAATGCTCCACAAACTCTCATCTTTAACTGCAGAGTAGCAGTCTTTCTATGCTATTTTTTTCTGCATCATGATTTACAAATTAAAGATAAGGGCAACGAACTTCTGCAAAAATTTCAACAAAACTGAATTTCCTTGTGAGCATAGGCAACCAATTGAAGCTCTCAGAAGTGGTAGCTCTCAGAAAAGGTAACAGAATACATCTCATTAAATGAAGCTCTCCAAATAGACTAATTTCACAAAAACATTACTGAAAATTAATAAAATTAGCTGAACATATGACAAGGTTTTATTATTTCAGTAGGTGGTTTGTGCATTACAACTTTTCCCTGGTACAGGCGAATCCATTCAACAGCTTGAGGATTTAAATTGATACAGTACTAGCCACATAAAATTACTGAATCTATTCGAAAGAAGGAATGAGATAAGAGTGTTACAAATTGCTTTGCTCATTGTGGCAAAAGGGGAAATACAAAATTCAAAATGTGAAAAAGAGCAAATGATTGAACACAAGGATTTAAATAAAGTCAAGAATAATCAAAGAGTCAAGAGAACGAAATTGGGTAAAAAATTCATAGTATTTAAAAAATTTAGGGAAAAAAAAAGAGAGAGAAATATAAAGTAAAGTCACATTTTAGAAAGGAGCAGACTACAAAGGGGCAAGTGATAGTACTGAAAAGGAGCTGTATTTCAAGTCAAAATACTTGTTACACAGTAAGTTTTTATAACTTACATATATACACATATACATATATGTGTGTATATATATACACACAAACAAACTTCTTGTTTGTAATGCCACAGACGGCTGATGGAAAATACAAGCATGTGCAATGAAACAGGAGTAGAACAAATTCTTAACTGCTGATAATTCTTTGAATCTGCAGTTAAGCAGCTCCACTAAAATCTGCCTCCTGATAGCTCTGAAATTCTGTGCTTTGTGAAGAAGCTGCAAGACCAGTGACAGACAATTATAATCAGTTAGTCAGCTGTTAAAAGCCAAAAAAAAAAAAAAAAAAAAAAAAAAACCTGAAGGGCATTTTGCGCCGTAGGCAACTGGCACTCCTGAACTCAGAAGAACCTGTAAATTATATTTTTGGCATAGGGACATGCAAATGTTAAAATAACAAAGGTTTCATTTATTCCAAATGCAGACAAAATTACATGCAAGTAAATTGCATTAATTACACAGCTTTGATATGTGACATATGTAACAGTTAATGTATTTTCCAGAAAGTGGCATTTAAAGTTTTGTTTCATTAAGGAACATGAAAATGTTTTGGATTATTATTTTTTTTTTTAATTTAAACCAAGGCAGAATTTTAACATATATATTCTAAAGCCTAGGAGAGTGGTACCACAAAAGAATTAATGCTACTAACAGCATGACAGGAGATGAAACTTGTACCTCAATGCAGCACGAAAGAGCTGAAGCTATTAAAAACACCATTTTTAAGGCTTTTTTTCCACTTCAGTTGAGACTTGTTTGCTACTTCCCATATCCCCCAACCTCCTCTTTAGGAAAATGTTATTTCTCTTCTTAAAGGCCAAAAGGAAATAAATAAATAAAGGCTTCACCTTTAGAAAAATACCTATTCATCTGTCTCCAGGGCACTCATTTCCAATAGGCTTAACTTCTACCAGGTGACTGTATTCATTATGGAATGAATATGGTCAAGCTGGACCTATAATACATTCAATATATTGATATCTTGAAAACCTTAACCTTCTATTCAAGTTGGAAGGACTGTTATAGTTGATACGTGCTTTTATAATAAGCAGACTTTATTAATAAAGTTGCTCAATACTGTGTGACCACATACACAAAAAGGAGGTGGGGACTTGTCAATAAGCTCTTTGGAGACCTAATCTGAAAATCAATAAAAAAATATTTTAAAAAATATTTTTAAAATATTTTAAAAAGGTAAAGAAAAAGTATTACAGAGCTGGTACGGGATTGCCAGGAGCTGACACTTTGCTAACAAATATATATATATATATATATATATATATATATACACACACGCGCATATATTTTTAATAAAATGATGCTACGACAATGTTCAGAAACCCTAAGGTCCTTTTAAGTAGCCACAGAACTATTTAAAGCAACAGAAATACTAACCTACCTCTACCCAACCTGGAACCTGGACAGGGTGCTCAGATATAAACCCACCATGCTTTACCTGCTTTTACGTTGTAAATTATATCTTACATTTAGATATGGAGCTTAGGGACAAAGAACACAAGCAAAACTTGTGTCCATCAAAGAGCAGCGTAACTAAAACTAAACACAAAACCAAAACCACAAGCAATGTGAAGAGGCCATGAAGAGGAACAAGAGTTTAAGTCATCAAGGAGCAAGAGTTTTAACTTCAAATGTGGGAAACCCCAAAGAGGCACACCAGGAGAGAGATGAAATTATGGACGCCAGATATGAGGGGTGACCGTTTTGCCACATACGTGAGGCAGAAGAAAGGATTTCCCAGGGACCTGCACGAAGGGCACAAGCAGAGACAGTCTCTGCTATGTTGGTTAGTTCTGAAAGTTATTTTTTTTTATTATTCCATTCTCCTTAAAGTAGATAACTATATCAGGTAGATGGATATGCTTATCAAAAAAAATAATAATCTGTTCAAATATGTAAATATTTTCCTTTAGAATAGTTGGAGCAAACTCCAACACTTATTTTTTCCACCAAGACCATTTTGTTTTTGCATAAAATGGCTACTTTCATCTAACAGCTTTAACTACTCCTTGTACTAAATAAAATAAATAAATAATAAATAATGGATAAGTAAATTTACTTATCACTATATGATATTAAGATTCCCCCTTTGCTATTGGATATACAACAAAGTTCTTCGCTATAAATCTCTCAGGAAGGATCTTGGCAGTCTTTGACAAAAAGTAGTATGGATTTAATGCTACACATACAAGAAACAGACCATACGACTAATCTTTTCCAGGTATCTGTGCAAATTGTCTATTCCTAGCACCACTTTTGTTTGTAAACTCCGAGTGTATAACCTTTTAGTGATAATCGTACCCCCAGCACTTAAAATGGAGTTTTAAAGAGAATTTCTTCCCTTCTAGTTTCTTTTAGATTTGATAATATTTGTGGCCCATTTTTAAGATTGATCTAGTGGAATACGGGAAGAAAACACACCTTTTTTTTTTTTTTTTTTTTTTAAAGTAGAGAGGCTTACCAAAGTCATCTCCACTGCCTGCCATCAATCCAAACATATCCTTTTCAACTTTCTTTGACCTCTGACTAACTTCAACTACCTAAAATGCAAATTCTTTAGGCCTCCCCCTTAGCTCACTTTTCTTTCTTCTTGCCTTCCAATTGTAGCTGTATTCATACTGCCCACCAACGCTTCTCCTTAGAAAAACGTCTCTAGGGCCATAAAATTTTTGTTCGTTTGTTTTTTGTTTTTATTTTTAAAGTAAAAATTCTGTTTAGTACCAGATTGAAAGCTCAGTAGCAGTACACATTATGAGTAACTCAATGGGTGTAACAATAATGCTTGGTTTTTAAACACAGCGACCTATGAAATGCAGGTGAAATAAGATCACTTTTGCTATTCAGCTCCGTATAGTGGCTTGGGCATGAGACTGTCTTTAAATGTTTGGTCAAATATATTTCAAAGTTTGTTGCGCAGGAGGCACAGAGCAGTCACACACAGGTGAGGAAAGCTTAGAATTTGGTCACAATGAATTAGAAATGCTTTATGGTCTTGGCTCACAGAAGACAAGTGATATTAACTGATCTGTCCATGATCTGTCCAGGAAGCAGCAAAAATGTGTCCCACGCGCATGTGTCCCACAAAGCAAAGAACTTGCAAACACACAATGAACAAATTTTGCCTTGTGTTAGACAGCAGAAGGGAAAAGACCCTCTGTAATACCCTTTGCAGTATCTAAGTCTTCCTTGTCTATTTTTACACAACATAAGAGAGTGTTAAATGGACACTATGTAATATAATGAATTTTTATCTTGAATAAATTACTTGCCCTTAAGCTAAATCATCTGAGTGAAAACAAAACAAAAAAAAGTAGATGAAAGTATAACATCAGATTTATATTCCATATAAAGATTGAAATGCTAAATATAATACCTTTCTGCAACAAAGAACTGATAGGGCAGGTGGGGAGAAGCACATTAGAAGAGCACGCAGGCTGTTACTCCATATGTGTTTGCAGGACTATAATAAATGTTTTTAATCTATGAAACATCTGGGACTAAAAATCCAATTTGTACTATTTCTTTAGATAGAAGAGCTTTAAAGTGGATAGCAAGGTTTCTACGATATAAATCTGCACAAAACTAACAGTACAGGTCTATCCTTTAGGCTTTTTTTGGGGAGTATAAAATATGCAGAATCCTACCAGGCCATATTGCCATGGGCTGTGTTGTCAAGGTGACAGAGGAGCTCCAGGGCTTGAGTGTTGCTTGATGAATCGTCAGGGGATTCGTGACTGCCTGATTCCAATTCCTTCGGCATCCTCCACACAGCAGCACACGTCAGGACTTTATTGTCTGAAACTAAGCAAGAGAATAATGTCAACAGATCATTGTATAGGGGACATATTTGGTATCCAGTGCATCAACATTTACACAAATCTATAAGTAATGCGCATTTGTTGTTTAAAGTATTTAAAAGTATTATAGTAAGCTAAATTCAAAGAACACATAAAATATACAGACACGGACCTCAGATGAGAAGTCAAATTCATGGGGAACTCAATCAGGATGTATTTAATCCACTTTTCCCTATTTTAAAGGCAAAACACAGTTCTCCTGAAAACACAGTTCTTTTGAAAGCAAGTTTTCCAAGCTTCATTTGCCATGTTGAGGTCAATGAAAATGACCCCCTAGATATATACTAGATATATACTGGTCAAGTCTGTAACAATAATTAAGACAATTCCAACTCTTTTCTTTTAAGGGCTACCTTCAGTCAAGTCTATAGCATTACACTGCAGCATCTGCTACCCAGTGCTGTTGATTACAAAAGTTAGTTTTCCAAAACATGCACTTCTCTCATCTCAGGGAACAAAAACAGCTTCCAAAGTATAAACTGAATTTACACACTTACCACATATGTATATATTTGTCCTACCTACTCCAGATGGGCTAGGTGAAAAATCCTAAGGATAAATAGCAATGAATGACATGTTTTCTATATTTTTCAGAGGTCGATTTGGCTGATTTTAGCATACAGTGCTTGATTAAAAAGCCACAAGCATACGTGACTGACTCAGATCAGTGGAAATTACACCAGGACCAATTGTAATGGAAGTGTTTGCAAAAAGAAGGGTAGTAAATCAGACAAATGCCTTCTTAGGCTGGTATGTTACTGACAGGGTAATGCGTCCCTGTTTTTACAAAGAGGACCAATCCAGACATTATATATGCAAAACGGGCACCTAAATATAAGCAATAGAATACGCAGCCCTTCAGACACAGTAAATAAAACCAAAACCTAAGAATACAGACACACTTAAAAAGTAACCATACGACATAAAACCTGTAGGTAGTTAAGTCAGAGGAGACGACCATTTCTCCGACAAAAGTAGTCAGAGAAGGGCTTTTAATTTAAGGTACAGAGTTCAGAATACATGAGCATTGTGGATTTGAGAGAATGCACTAAAAGCAAAATGCAACAGACACATATATGTGCACATATTACATATGTATATGGGAGAAAATATATAAACCATGTTATAAAACCATGTTATGCAATAGTTGGGAATTGGTATACAAGTAGTATACAAAGCCACAAGACCATACATTTTAAAGGTGATGGTCAATCCCTTATTTATTAAGGCTTAATAGAGCTAACTGCAGCACATGCCAACTAATCAGCTATTTTGAAGTCATTTGAGGTAACTCCTTCCCTTGGAATCAAAGTGCCACTGCAGAAAGCAGGAGCTCATGGCTACTCGTTACAACCAAGGTGCAAATAAAGGTCCAGGATGCGCTGTGTGCTATACAAGCAATAAATAACCCAAGCTGAAACTGCAATACAGTTTGAAAAGATTTATCAAATATTTTATCAAAATTTTTGATTTTTAGCGATATGAAATTGAGAGTGAAGAAAACACTAACCTGTGTGGTTATTTTCTTGAAAGATCAGCACCATGCATATCCAGCATGACAAGTATTCTAGAAAGCTCATGCTTAAACCAATTCCACATTGGAACATTTTGAAGTCACGATGGTTTGTTCCCATAAAGAACTTAGAAAAATAAAATCCAATTGTGCAAGAAATGTTGATTTCCAGATAACAAAGACTAAAACAGTTGAACAAGCAAGGAAATCTCCTCAGAAGTTGATGTAAGCAGGCTCCCGTGGAAGTCTAGCGCTCTGAAAACTGCTCAGCAGCCACCAGTGAAATAAACATGCTTGAAATTCAATGCGAGAAACAATTCTACAATGATTTTTATTTGGTTTCAAATTATAACCACAGATGCTGCTAATGAGCAAGCTGGAAATGCACTGGATATTCCACGCAGAGCGGATCTGCTCGAGCAGTGAAAGCAGATCTCAGCCCTGCACAGCTCCCTGCGCCGAGCCCGGCACAGCCCCCGAGCTGCTCCGAGGAGGCGACACGGCTCCGATGCCCCCTGCTCTTCCAAAACACAAGAGAAGCCTCTCTTTCTGAAGGGTAGTTTGAGCACGGTAGCTTTCTACATTAATGGTTCTTATTTTACAGAACGTACTTCAGGCAGCATTTTTTTCTTTTACACCATTCGATTTTTATCTTAAAGAACTGTTCTAAGCTTTGTTAGTGTATATCTTTAGAATGCCACTTTAAGAAGAAGGATATCTATCAGACTTTATAGGGATCCTAATAACTCAGGAGTTATTCATTCCCTTTCACAGCAGTTGAAATAATTCAGTTACTTTAGTTTTCCCTGTCATTACTTACAAAAACAGAAGTAAAAATATATATTTTAAACCACAGTAAAGATGGCTTCATGAGGTAACTATCACCTTTTTTATGTTAATACAGAAATTTTAATCTCCATTAACCCCTGCATTCCTTATATTTTAGTAGAAGTTTTTTCTTCAATTAGAAATCATATTATCTTCACATCATTTTCATAACATATATGTTCCTGTAAATACCAAATAATAGTAAAAAAGGATTGCAAGTAGAGGTTGGCTCAGAACTTCATATGCCAAGTTGCTACGATACCACATCTCTGTTTTACTTCATTTGGGATTTGGGGTAGGGGGAAAATCTGTTGTGCGTCAAGGGCAGACAGACAGCAGGCCCAAAACCCACCACTGCCACAGACATTATTCGCTGCTTTTAACTTGATTTGAAGAGGCTCATGGAAGATTACAGGCCATTTTGCAGACATTAGATGATCAACGATCATCAACAGCTCTATGTGCATTACAAAGCCAGAGATTCTACTTTAAACTCTGGAGGAACTCTGCAGTTAGATATGTAGTAAGATCTGTAGTGCTGAGGCTTAATTCAGAGCACTATTAATTTCTCCTTGCACTTTTTATATACTTATCTACAGTTCTGACATTATTAATTCTCAGATGTGTGAAACTAAAATGGAATTGCCAGGGCTACTGGGGAAGAAGTTTCAGATATGCCTGATCTAATCGAAGGCTTAATCCCTTTATATAAAGCACTAAAAAAAACACTATCTTTTGCTCTCTGGTAAAAAGAAAAGGAAAGTGTAGGACTGAGCAAAAGTGTCACTCCACGATGACAAGACAGTTCTTCGGTGGCTCTTGATTCTTTTTAAAGAAACAGGTAGCAGCAATGACCCTACAGGAACCCATGCAAATAAAGTAACTCTCATCATATAGAAAACCAGATCCCATAACAAGCTTCTCATGTTCTGTCATGGCATTATGACAAAAATCAGTAAATACACAGGATTGTACAGGTAATTCCTCAAATACCGTTTATTAAATGATATTAAAATGTACGTACCCAATATTACTGCATAGTTTCACTACAGCCTTTAGCATCACTCCTTGCCCTCCAAAAAAAAAAAAAAAAAAAATCTTTGCGCAAGTAGAAACCCTGGCTTTTCCCTTCTTTTACTAAATCTTCATTTCACTGTACTGCATATAGGCAGTAAACACTATTTTTACCTATTACCTCTTGTAAGGTTTCTCAGGTACGACACTACATTAAGCACATTTTTATAAACTTGTACCTGTCAGTATGACTTTTTCCAAGACAATAAAAGGCAAGCATAGTATTCAAGTGACAATGCCAGCCTGCCTGCTTGTCCAACCTTACCTCACAATTAGAGCAGACAGTATTTTAGGTCACAGAACCAAAGCAAACAATAGATAAGGTTAGGCAATTTAAAACTTTTGATTTTATGTTGCTGTAATCAAGCTTAAGAAAAGCACCAGGCAATTTAACTAAGCATAATGTGAGCCTATCTTGTGGACCTGAAAGTACACTTTCGGAGTAAAACTGAAAGGTTTGCTGAAGACAGTCTCACTGTTATCTGTGAAGCATTTGTCACAAAAAAAAAAAAAAAAAAAAAAAAAAAAAAAAAAAAAAAAAGAGGAAGAAAACAACACATAAATTTTTTTTTATTTCCTCATCATACAAGAGAAAAGCCCTTATCTAATTCATTGTACGTCTTCAAAATAACTTTCACTGGGCATAGCTAAAGTTGGAATTAGACATGCTATCCAACTGCAGCCACCCAACCTCAGCAATACAACCTCCTGGATAGAGGTTACCATGTCCTCTGACCTGCCAGAGGAATTCTGCCCAGAATTTCTTCTACCTGGTTTCATTTAAACAATCAAAGTTTAAAAACAAAGCAAAAACAAAAGAACAAAACCAAGGTAGAAAGTGCCTAAACAGAGTTGCACTGTCAGCCTTGAGAGTACAGCAACCAACTGCAGTGAGTTCATCCAAAGCCTCAGTGAGGCAACCATGGCAAGAGAGCATAGGCCTCTTTCGTTGCCTACTTTGCAAGTACAGCAAGTGCAAAAACACTGTGCACACGGAGCGTGCAATTTGCAAAAGGTCACAACTTGGTCAAATCAATAGCAATTTTCACCGGAGCACTCAGAGGGACTTCTCCGTGAGGGCTATTCCTTCATTCAGCATTCCACTACTAGCTGTTTTGATACACATACGAAATAGGAGAAGCTGCAAGCGGGTGAAGTATCCCATTTTATCTTCTTCCAAATACAGTTCCCCTTAGAGAGTTGCTGCAGCTTAAGGTAATAGCCACTGAGAGAAATAAGTCCAAAATTTTTCTGCCTGGAAGGTAAACATACTGGAAAGTCATTAATGAGAGTTGACAAGAAAACACATGTGTAACCTTAACTACAGCTACCTGATATACTGCTTTATAGAATTAATTCCTATAAAACATATCAACACACTGCAGCATTGCTGGCTGGAACACAGAAGCCAGTAGACATGTCTTAACTCTACAGTTATTTTGAGCCTGGAAGCAGAAGAAATATGCAAGTACAGGAACACACACTGCTGATTCCAGGTGTAATACATTTGCTCCAGACACTGAGAAAGT